CCGCCGTCTGTCTGGGCGCCGCCTCGCCCAGAGTAAACGGGCTTCCAGCCTCTTCTAGCAAATTGGCAGACCCTCTCACGTCGATGCGGCTGGACGGCCCCCGGAGCAAGGAGCAGCGGACGAACAGACACCAGCTCATCGCCTCGAACGGCTGTTTCAATGGGCTGGTTCTTTTAAGAATTAGGTGTGTGGCTGGAAATCTCTTACGTCAATCACTGTGTGGTCGCGCACGATGGAAGTGTTTTACAAACTGCGTGTTCCCACCCCTTAGAGAAGGTTGTGGATTTACTTTACTGCGTGAATGGCAGACAACGCGCACACAGTGACAACAAAATAGAATAGAGTGGGGGTGTGGGTGAGGAAAGGAGGAAATACAATGAACATCCCACAAACCCCCACAAACCCCGTTATCATAGAATTCAGACTCACAGCAGTTCACATAATTTTGTCTTTAGCCCTCTTAGATGCATGTTTAACCTCTTTAATCGACCATCCGCCTCACCTTATCTTAGTATATTTATCAATATTAAAAATGGTTTCCTTAATAGAAATTTCTTTCCAACTCCAAAATAAAAAATATTTTTCCTGACCACACGTTTCTAGGATAGGTTTTTGCCTACATTGCCTCTTTAAATGTTCTTGATGGTGTGGGTAAACTGTTCTTCCAGTATCTGTGAGTAGTAAGTAGTATGTTACTCACTACAATCACCATTCATCTGCCAAATAAATACCCATGACAAGGTTTTAATAAATGAGGTTTTTGAATCAGCTTCCAAGAATCATGGTTTTAATAGGTTAGCTGTTGAAACTAATAAGTCCAGTGGCTTAACATAACTTCTTACTCCTGACAGTTGAATGCAAGCATCATTGATCAGTGGTAGTTTTCCTCCATATAGTGACTCAGAAACCCAGAATCCTCCCATCACTGGGAGCAGAAGTGAGCAAATGCTTTCGGTAGGTAAAGAACCAGAGAATACATGTTCTAGACTTTGTGGAAGAGGTGGTCTTTGTAGCAACTATTTAATTCTGTCTCTACAGTTATAATGTAGTCGACAGTGGGGGCACTATCGGAATGGGGAGGGCTGCATCTGGTGACAATGCCAGTTGAGATGACACCAAATGACAGTATTATCATTACCAAATGACAGTGACACTTTGAATCACGTGGTTTTGTCTGAAAGCATGTGCTGTTGTTTTCATTGCTGCCACTGTTGTTTTCATTGCTGTTTTTATAGCTGTTAAAATGAACATGATTTTGATGTTCTTAATGTTTCTACTTTGAGTTCTACTATTTGTTATTACTGATTTTTTTTCACTTTACATAAAATTCAACTCTCAAACTGACTGCCATCGAGTTGATGCGGACTCATAGCTGCCCTTTAGGGCCAGGTAGACCTACCTCTGTTGAGTTTACTATGAGACTCAAGACAGACTGTAACTCTATGCACGGGTAGAAAGCCTCGTCTTTCTCCCAAGGAGTAACTGGTGGTTTGAAACTGCTATTAGCAGCCCAAATACATAACCACTACCAGGGCTTCTATGTCCATGTCAATACATCAGGCTGTGTGTTTGAAATTGTAATTTGTACTTTGTTAGTTTGTTACTATTGTTGCCATTATAAGGACCCCTGGGTGTATTTTGATAACTTCTGCCACAAAGTATGAGTTTTCTGCATTTAACCAGTAATAGAGAGGGGGGAAAGACATATCTACTTCTTAATCACATCAACCCAGAAATTACATACAATATTTTATTTCACATATCATTGGTAAAAATGAGGACCACAGTAGATAAAAAGGAAAACTTGGAAATTTAGTCCCTAGCTGGACACGACACTTCTTTCAATTCTGTAA